TTTCTTTCTTTCTTTCTTTCTTTCTTTCTTTCTTTCCTTCCTTCCTTCCTTCCTTCCATCCATCCAATCTTTACATATTTTGTTTCTCTTTCATTATTTTCTTTCTTCTCTTTTTCAGTATCAAAAGTAATTCTTTGTTCCCTCTCCCCTTCCTTCCTTCCTTCCTTCCTTCCTTCCTTCCTTCCTTCCTTCCTTCCTACCTACCTACCTACCTACCTACCTACCTACCTACCTACCTACGAAATTTGAAGTCCACTGGTTACAGCAGTGTTTGTGACCCTCGACAACTTTTAAGACTTGTGGAGTGGATGTCAACTCCCAGAATTCCCCTGACAGCATGAATTCTGGGAGCGGAAAACTACAGCTCTTTGCTTCTAACATTGCATAGTCATTTGGAATTGACTTATTATACGTGTCCAAGCCCATTTGGAGAAAAGGATGGGGAGGGGTGGCCAGAAACTGAACGATGGAAGGATTTTACTTCTGGGAGCTACATTGGCATACTGAAATCTCCCCCAGGGAAATGAAACTTGCCGTGGGGGAGAAAATCTCTCGGCGGAGGAATCCCCCTCCCCAATTTAAGCCTAGAGAGCAATGCTACGGCACGTTCTTCTGTTTTATTTTTCCTCCTTCTTCTGGTTAGCCCCTGGCTCAAGTGCCATGCCGCCAATGTGCCATTGTGTCCAGTTCCGGGCAGATGTTGGGCTCCCGTTCGGGAACGGAGATTGACGCCAAGGAATGCGTCCTGCGCATGAACCAGGCCCCCACTCAGGGCTACGAGGAAGACGTGGGCAGCCGCAGCACCCTCCGCGTGGTCTCCCACACCAGCATCCCTTTGCTGCTACGCAACCACAGTTATTTCTTCAAGCAATCCTGCGACACCACCTATATCATTTGGGGGCCTCCCCGGCTGATGAGCCGTGAGAAAATCGGCTTGGTTTATCGGACCCTGGTGAAGATCAAGGAGATGTACCCGGCTTTGCATCTCTACACTCTCACCGAGAAAACCATGGCCCGCTGCGATGAGCTCTTCCAACAAGAGACGGGGAAAAACAGGTGAGTGGTGACTTGGTGACTCTATGAGTCTCTTTATGAACACCAACTGTGCCCCCAACGTCCCTTTCGACTCTGCAGCCTGGAGAAACACTCTTCCACAAACCTGTTTTACAGCCTTTGGCTGAAAATGCTCCAGTCCAAACGCTGTAAGCTGAAAACTTCCAACTACAAATCCATCGAGGCAAAGTAAGGTAATTAATTGAGTAGAGCAATCAAAATAAGGAGTTCCAGAAGTGAAGCAGCAGAACAGTAAATCAAACCAGTTGGGAGGATGCTGGGAACTCAGCTAAGCAGTTAAACTCAGTGTTTGTTCCCGACAACCGTCCTTCCCACTTGCCTTTCCTTTAAACTCCATTCCCCAGGTGTGCCTTGTGAAGGGAATCGGGGCCCTTTCCTCCCTCGTAAGCCATGCAACGGAGAGCCGTTGCTCTCGTCTCCATTCTTCCCTGCGTACCCTAGGATGAGGAGGGGATGGGCCTTGGTCTTCATCTGAACCTGCTCTCCCTTGTTCTACCTCTCCCTTNCTATATTCTATTCTATTTTTTTGCATTTTCTTTATTCTATTCTATTTTTTCTGCATTTTCCTTATTCTATTCTATTTTTTCTGCATTTTCTCTATTCTATTCTATTCTATTCTATTTTTTCTGCATTTATTCTATTCTATTTTTTCTGCATTTTTTCTATTCTATTCTATTTTTTCTGCATTTTATCTTTTCTATTCTATTCTGTTCTTTCTATATTCTATTCTATTCCACTCTATTTGGAATTTTCTCTATTCTATTTTTTTCTGCATTTTCTTTATTCTGTTTTATTTTTTCTGCATTATCTCTAGTCTATTCTACTCTATTTCTATATTCTATTCTATTCTATTTTTTGCATTTTCTCTATTCTATTCTATTTTTTCTGCTTTTTATCTATTCTGTTCTATTCTTTCTATATTCTATTCTATTCCACTCTATTCAGCATTTTCTCTATTCTATTTTTTCTGCATTTTCTCTATTCTATTCTGCATTTTATTCTATTCTGCATTCTATTCTATTCTACATTCTATTCTATTTTTTCTGCATTTTCTCTATTCTATTTTTTTCTGCATTTTCTCTATTCTATTCTAAATTCTATAAATACATTTTAAATGGCCCTTTGATGCTAGTTTACTCTTTGCAAGATAGGAGACACATAGGAGAGCGTTTTCAATATGAGAACGCCATATAGATGCATAACAAAAGCTTTTTAATAACGCAGGGGCTCTTAGCTAGGTATTAATGCAACCGTTCAGCTACACAAATGGGTGGCTTGAAAAGGTTGTGTGGCATGTCAGCCAATCACAGGAGAGCTTTTTTGGCAAGAACCAGCCAGAAGAAATGTGATGTTTGTTGATTATGGTGCGTAACTTCGGCAATTTTAAGATTGTGGACTTCAACTCCCAGAATTCCCCATCCAGGAAAATTGTGGGGGCTTCCTTCCTTCCTTCCTTCCTTCCTTCCTTCCTTCCTTCCTTCCTTCCTTCCATCCATCCATCCATCCATCCATCCATCCATCCAATCTTTA